CAATTACAAAACCAGATTTGGTCTTGTATTGTTATTTCTTGTCACTACCTCTCTTCATTAGAATTGGGTAATTTACGCGCCTGCTGCCATCCTTAGATGTAGTAGCTATTTCTCAGGCTCCCTCTCCGGAATCGAACTCTAATTCCCCGTTACCCGTCATTGCCATGTTAGGCCAATACCCTAACATCAAAAGCTGATAGGTCAGAAACTCGATTGATACACACTAAAATAAACTAAGTTTATTACGTGTTACTTCTTTGTTATAATTCCTTAAGTTAATAACTTTTTTCTTATAAGACTTAACAAATACATACTCAAGAACTTAATCAAGAATATTAAAGCAAGTATTAGCTACAGCTTTTCCGTAGTTATCCTTATATTAAAAAAATGTCAAGTAGATTATAACTGTTTTAATGAGCCGTTCGCAGTTTCTGCATATTATAATATGCATATACTTTCACTTGCATGGCTTAATCTTTGAGACAAGCATATGACTACTGGCAAGATCAACCAGGTTATTATATATATAAATTAATGATATACATACCCTTACACATACAATATGTTCTTAGTTTCAAGCATAATTATAAACATGTTTATAATAAAGCTGATAATATATATATATATAAAATAAAAACGACATCTTAAATGACATTCCTATATACACATATTAAACTTTAAACTCTGTTAATAATTATATATTCACTAAGAACATGTATATATATTTAGTAATATGTATACATATATATATTTGTTCATATTTCATATTTTTTTTGAATACATTCTAAAAAAATAACTTACATTTGATGTTTTAATATCATAATAATATCGTAAGTTGTAAATTTATTATAAAAATTATAATTCTTAGACATTCTGAATATAATTTTATATAAATCGTAAGTGCATCCAATGAGACATAAAAACATAATAAGAATATAACACACAATTGTGTAAAATAAATACATATATAAATTACCTAACTATGTTTATTCTTCTGTTAGCATGTCTTATGGTGATGCTTATTAATAAAAATATTGTTACAATTTTAATTTTTATATAAAACTAAGTATATATATTAACAAATTACCGCAATTATATTAACTATAATGGTTTATTATATAGTTACACGTCTTGTTTATTCGTAAATAAAAAATGTGTTTTGTGTTAAAAAAGTACTTTTTGATCCATATAATAAAAAAGCCTTAATTAATTTGGTCTACTTAAATGATGTGTATTATTTAATGCGTTTAACTTGTGGCATATAGGATATATATATAACAGAATAATAATTCTATTATATATGGCAAACATTTTTGTTATAGTTATGATCTAGTGCCGTATTGCAGATATATTTTGCTTAAACAAGTTAATATAACTTTAACGAAATTTATATGATTATTTAACTCTTTTGTTGTAACACTATATGTATTATAGAGAAACCTGTAGAATTATGTAATAACTTACTAAAAATATGTAGTTACTAACATAGCATGATTTACTACTTTTACTTATAATATATATGTATATATATATATATATATATATATATGTTAAAACTTTTTTATTGAATACATAAATGTGTAATTCAAAATAGACATATGCAGATTAATGCTACAACAATACAGAGTATATAATATTTTTTGGATCATAATTATTAAAATATATAATTCATAACATATTTAATAAATGACAATGTAGCAACTTACTTTTATCAGTTTAAAACAGTTGATTACTATAGCAATGACAGCTTTAATTCTAACTAATATTTATATTATTAGACTTTAATTTTTTTTTTTCAGATATGATATAATGTACAACGTATTTGTTACAATTGAATATAACATTCATAACACCAATGATAATATATTTATGATATACATGAGTATTAACATATGCATACATAAATATTTAACATGGATTATGAAACGTGATCACAGAAACAGCAAAAACAAAAATACTTACAATCTGTAACATTTTTTTATTTTAAAGACTATATCTATTATATATTACTGCTGAATATGTATATATGTTTACATCAACATGTAAATGATTTACCGTATCTAAATTATTTAGTTTTTTATTTTACAGTGTTGTGTGTAGCACTTCATTTTAAAGTGGACACACACACATATTTAAACTCACATATTTTTTGATATTATATTAATAGTTTACGCATAAAGTAAGCTAATATGTATAAAGAAAAAAAATAATATAGGAATGCACTAACGTAAGTAACTGTCATTAGATCCTTTTGAAAAAAATCGAATTACCTATAGCTGAATGCTTTTTTATAGTGCATTCTTATTAATTGTGGTTTAAATGAATGGTCTAATAGTTGTTATTGTAAGAATAAAACGTATATCATTATAATTATATGATATATATTCTAAAAGAATTATTTTATATTATATGACACATATAACAATTTTTAAATTAATTTTTTTTTTAAACAAATAATAATATATAGGTTAATATATAATATTTTAACATTAAATTACAATTATAGAGGGTTTGATGGGATGATTATAGACACATTTTATATGCTTATTTGTTATTTTATAAATCACAAATATTAGTGATAAATGTTGTTTACAATAATTTATTATTAATTTAGAAAAAATATTAAATTTAAAATGTTATACATGTCTAATAATGATAATAATAATAAGCATAATTTTTATATAGTTTCTACGTCAGATAATTTAATTGATTAACTATGATATGATTATTAAAAAATATACTTAACAATTGCGAGAATTTTTAATAAGTTTCAATTTCTAAATAGTTGTAAGCACAGCATCGTGGACTAACATCTATACATCCGTACCTTTAAATGAAGGAGAAGTATGTAACAAAACTCAAAATATAATGTCTAATATTGTTTTCCAGAATTATTCATATCATAGTGGTATATATCTGCACGCTTATATTATGTTTAATAGACACAAACTAAATTTTTATTATACTACAATTCATAAAACGTACTATATATATTTTAAAAAATTCGTACTCAAGAAAGTTATTTTCTAACAAATATAACATCCATACGTTTTTATAAAACCACAACAAATTATGTGACATAGAACTTAAAACAGACAAGAGAATTTTTGCGAACAAAATTCAATATATAAATTATTTATAATAAAGTTATCTTCATTTTTTTTTATTTTTTTTTTTTGGACTTTTTCATTTTTTTTTTTTTAAAAAATTGAATTGACCGTAAATATCGTTTGAAACTTTTAAATATTTTACTTAAATTGAAATTTCAATTAAGTTTTTCTATATAAATTTTTTAATTTTTAATTTATTTGTTTTGTTTTTACATTACTTCATCCTCATTATGGGGGCGATGGTAGGTGTCATTTTCATTCATTTATACCATCATGCCATTTATAACTCGTAGTAAAAAATATTATAGGATTTGCATGGTGTTTATAAAACTATTTTCTAACTTAATGTAAAGCCTATACATATGTGGGTAGCATGAGTTTACACCGATATTTATGACTATTGCCTCATATACCTGTGTTCCCATCACTCCTCCAAAAATAAAAAAAAAAAAAAAAGGCTCCGTATGACAAACAGTTCTTACATTGTGTGGAAAATAATCTGTGTGCACTGGAAAAAAAACAGCACCCATTAATACATACGAAATAAAAGTATTGGTGTTATAGCAGCTTGTCACGTAAAAATTATGCTCCGTGAAAAAGGAAAGAAAAAATTCATATATACTAATATGCGAATAAAATGAACAAGTGAAAAAGATTGGGCTTATATGCTATGTATAAAATGAACAAGTGAAAAAGAACGGGATTATATGTTATGTATAAAATGAACAAGTGGAAGAACAGGTTTATACTCACATGTATATAATTAAGCACGTGCACGAAAGATTTATGTATATTATATACACGAAGCACTTATGAGCAAGGTTTAATGTATATAAAAAATAAACAACAATGTAGAAAGGAAAAAAATAAAAATCCCCAAAAAACAAAGCTTCTACATAAAGTAAATCTCACACACAGAATAAAAAAAAAAAAAAAAAAAAGTGTCATTACTTTCATTTAATAAGGAAATGAAATAAAGAACAGAAATGTTGTTTGAACAAAAAAAAAAAAAAAATTCCTTACAGATCAAGCACATAGAACATAAAAAATTCCAGGTGTTCACGCAATTTTGTTATTTATTTTATACTTTTATTGCATTTCACTCGTAAAGTTAATTAACAAGATCTATTACACTTGTAGGCTTTTTTTTTTTTTTTTTTTTTTTTTTTCTTAATTTGTAGTCAACTCTATCCAGCACATGAACTTTTCGTCGAAATTATCTTTTCCCACGTGATTGTTTATAACACGCTCTTTCAGTAAGAATAAAAGGGAAAAATTATTAAATATCATAAAATTTTTTACTTTAACATGTTTTGCTACAAGCCTACACAATTTACACTATTTCATGTACTTTTGGCATATAAGATAATACCAATTCACATATCACAGCTTATGAAAGAAGGCCATTTTTTTTTTTTTTTTTTTTTAAGTAATATTCTATGAGTTGATTCTCAAATTATTATCGATGTGTTTAATAAATCCACTTATAATAACATTTGTTATGTGGATATTCTCTTGACACATGATACATAGGTACTGTGATTACGATAGCCTTTATCGTTACATTATTTTATCACAATCCCTACGGAAAGCAATACGTTTTATTTGTGTTAATGAAAAATAAAAAATAAAAAAAAACAGAAAAAACAGAAAAAACAGAAGCATATAAGTCCCACATTTATTGACATTATATCTCAAATTCGCATATTTCGCCAAGTGTGAAACTAGCGAATATAGTACCCATAGAAGTAATTTTTTCGTACCAATTAAATTTCGTATGAAATAATTCTTTTTATATAAGTACATATACAAGCACATTTAGGAATAACTATTTACATATCATCACTGAACTATCGGAACTTTAACACTTGATTATACCTTTTATATACATTTTACATTACAGGATTCTTAATTACATGAAAAAAAAAAGAAAAAAAAGAGTAGAATATTTAAGTGCATGATATAATAGTTATCCCTTGAAATGTAGTGAACATCAATTTGCATGTACTTGCTCAAATTCTTTTGCAAGGCCTAAAAACGTAAAATATATTATAGTCTCAAAATTTTCAAACATTTTCCGTAACAACAATTTGAAATTATGATGTAGAAATATCAACCATTAAGGTGGACAATAAATATCTTTCATTAAGTTTGACAGCGTATTCATTCTTTACTGAGAAATAACTCTTATCTCCTCCTATATATCACAATTTTTTTTATTCAAAATGAGTCGTTAATTTGTTTTTTTCTAAAAATAAGGGTAGTTTATATCGGTGTAATTTATTCTTTTTACGAGGGTATATGTTGTTTAATTCAATAGGAACATATCACATACAATATCGATACACACACTTAGAAGTTTACATACTAACCAGAAAGAAAAAAAAAAAAAAAATTCTTAAACATTTTTTTGTTTAATTCTTTTTACGTATTCGAATAAACTTAAATGTATCATTTACAAAGAAAAATATGAGTTTAATTAATGTAAAATTACATAGGAGAAATTTTAAGCATTTATAATTTTTCCTATTTTCCGTATTATATATATGCAGGATACAACTAGTCTAAAATAAATAAACAATCATCGTCTTTTGAAATGGTCATTAACTTATTTTGGGTGATGGTGGTGGAATAATATCACATAAATATGCAACCTATATATATATGTGTGAACATATTCACTTTTTCAGTGTAAAGAGAATTGATGTCGTTGTGGCTATATCGAATTAATGTAAATTACAAATTAATGTTCCTTTTTTTTTTTTTTTTTTTTTTTTTGAGTATAAATATTTATTACTCTATTCTATGTTAAAAAAACTGTACACAAATAATATGCAAATTTTTCTTATCCCAAATGACATCATTTTTTTTTCTTTTTTTTTTTTTTTTTTTTGGTGCATCATTTGTGTTTTTCTTTTCATTCAAAATGATACAAAACGTTTTTAATAGGTAAAATCTGTTGCAACATTTGCGCACGTTCTGTTAAGTTACATGTTATACTCGACAAAAATAAAGCATGTAATTCATGTAAAGTACGATCTCTCAAAATTGTATACATTTTAACAAAGACACTTTAATCTTTACATACAACATTCTTTATGGGAAAATGTAAGAAGAGTTAAAAAAATAAAATAATAAAATCACTCCAGAATTGGGTAAAAAAAAAAAAAAAACCTTTCATAAATATCCATTTTTCAGAATTAAAAAATAAAAAATTAAAAAAATTATATATATTTTACTTATACATACACAACTGTATATACATGTTATATACCTTGCAAAACTTATTAACACAATAAAATTGAAAATATCAAAAAAATTATGGTATAACAAAATATGCTGTTTTTTTTCCTATCTTCAACTACTTATGGCAGTGAAATTTATGCTTTTTTCTTGTTCTATTTCGTACATCATTTCTCTCCTACGTGCATGTTATTCCACATCGGCGAAACCATAAACCAACTTCCTAATATTAAATTTAATATACGGGATCATGCTTAGTATTTCATTCTTCTCCGAGCTGGTCAGTTCCAAACCGCTATGTCTTATATTCCTCAAAATATATTGTCGTAATGTCTTATCACTTGGGAGAGAATCAGTAATGGTCTTTCCACTATAGTAACCCCTCTTGGTATGAAGAACTCCATCATCTAATGTATCCATAAGGACATCATAAACGTCTGTCACTACTGCAGGATCTTTCCATTGTGGTTTACGTTTTTCTTTAATAAAGTATGCACCTCCAATTAAAGCTGATATAACGGCAATTGCTGCGGTTGTCACTCCAGCTAATATCAAGGTCTTCTTTTTATTATCATTTTTATTCAACTTTTCATTGACTGCATTGACTGCTTCCGTAACTTTCTTCTTAATTGTGTTCTCTGAGTATATGCATGGAACCAATAAACTCGTTATAAACAGAAAATTCACGATGAAAGATATGGATGATATTCTCATTTTAAGTAAAAGATATAGAACAATCAAAATATCAGTGACGCCAATCTTAAAAATGTAAGGGGATCTTGGACACTGTGCAAAATTTATGTTTTACAGTATATTTTTAAATCGGGTTAAATTTCAAGCAGTAAGAAGAGTTATTTTATTTATCATTATATTTTTTTTTTTTTTTTTTTTTTTTTTTGCTTGCTTTTCAAGCATTTACTGCTTTTTCTTTGTATTATTTAACGAATTATTTGTTCTTTCATAAGTTGTTTATTATTTTCTTTTTTTGTTGTTCATTATTTTTCCCTATTTCTGGGTTTCTTCATTTTGTTTGCCTTGTTTGTTTTGCTACTTTTTTTTTTTTTTTTTTTTTCTTCTTTTTTTTTAATCTACATTTCTTACATTTTTTTTTCACATGTTTGCTTACATTTTTTCTCTTACATTTGTGTATTTAATTTTTTCAAGTACAACGTGGTCTTTATTTCACCTACATATGCTACCACCCCCTTCTCTTTTAATGTGTCTTTGCATGCATATTTTATGAAAAATGCAGCACATTGTGCCCTCATTACAATAGCAGCTGCATGTGTTTCGGAATAGTATATTTATTTTGCTTTCTTGGCCACTACAATGAATACAAGAAATAAAGAAAACATGAAAGAGTCATCCTAATGTATGTAATACATGTGCATATTATGTACATATATATGCATGTACATTTGTTCAAACACCCAAATGGGGCTATTATATATGTGTTATATTCTTGCGGGGCGAATTTTAACTCTCCATTTTTATTATGGCCCATAAAAAAAAAAAATTAAAAAGGAATTCAAAAAAATAAGGAACAGCTTATATACTGTTTAACCACTTGTCTACTACATATTAAATAAATCATTAAAAAGTGAACAAATCAAATGTGAACAAAATGAACACATTCTTAAATTCATTTTTGAGGTACTTATTACAATAAAAATATGATGTGGTAAAATAAGGTGCATTTATGTGGGTACCAAAAGAACAAAATTAAAATTCAAATGAGTATGTTTCCACATGACATATTTTTGAATGTTCTTAAACTTTACCACTGCACCTGTAAATTTTTTTATATATTCTCAATTTTCAAAAAAAAAGATGATATTACGGTGGGAGGTTACATATGTTACATGTTTTATAATGACTCTTTCCCTCACAAAGCACTTAACGCAACATGCGAAATGTAGATAAATATCCATATGTATACATTCTTATGCATATATGTATATACATCAGTCGTCAAAAATGAATTATTTGAAAATATTCCATCATCTTTAAGCCGTGCATCCACCTTTTTTTTCATTTTTATAAAGCCCAATTTATCCAAATTATTACTTTGACTGGAATTAAAATCACTCAAATGCGTTACCATCGGCATCATTTTTCACCTTGAATTTTGAGGAGTAAATGTGTTAAGCTCACATATGAAAAAGCGTATATATATATATATATATATATATATATGTGTAGACGAAATCTTTTACAACTTTTCCAAAAACTTCACAAGAGGATATCATATATTTCGCAAATATTATAGTTCTATAAAAAGTAAAAATATGTTCTCATTTAGACCCATTAATGAATAATTTTTTTTTGGAATTTCGGGGGGGGAGGCAAATTTTCTTTTAATCTCATATTATTTTATTGCAATAACGTTACGATTTTACATTAGGATTTTTTAATTATTAACAAGATCTTTTTTTATTAAAAATGTAACCATATATTTGGACACGAGCCTGTACCATTTGACTCTGCAAAATTTTAGAAAAGTTGACACAAAAAGTACTACTTTATATGTTCCTGCAGAATGCAGTGGGTAAAAAATATATTCAGAACAAAAAAAAAAAAAAAAAAAAAAAAAAAAAAAACGAAACCTTTAACTGGGCTTATGTACTTATATATAATATGACATACTCATCAGGTGAGTCAACTAACAAGAAATTTCCCCATCATATCTAAGAACACTTTATACACTTTTTTTTTACACCTACACAAAAATAAAATTAGCAAAATGAGTAGTCATTATTTGGAACCATTTTGCCCTGTCGGTACATATTTGACTTAGTATTTAAAAAAAAATGTACGTTATTTCATTTAATAACTCCATTTATATTTTCCCGTAAGGCAGTGAAAACACAATTTCTCTTAAATAACCCATGTTTTTACATAAAAAAAAAAAAAAAAAAAAAAACACTCAAATTACCTAAATTCATTATACATGGAAATACATGATAGGAACAGTTCTCTTTCAATTTTTAAAAAATATATATAAAATAAAAAATATATAAAAAAAGCACATAATTTAGTCCCAAATTTTCTCTACAATTGTACCTAATTTCCTCATGTTATAATTAAATAAGTAATATTCTAATTTTTTCCTACTTAACTAATTTTTTTTCACACCATTATATCCCCACAACTTGATTGCATGTTTGAATAAAAAGACCTATTCTTGTGTGCATAATTATATGTAGTTATATTTATAGGTTTAAAGGAAAAAAAAAGAAAAAAAAGGAGAATTCTTAAGAACGAATTTATCGAGAATGTTATATGAAGCAGCACTTTTGTTGCATATGTTATCAAATTTCCTTTTTTTTTTTTTAAATTAAATATAAATATTCTAATTTATAGTCATTTTCAACGACATTAAATGCACATTCTTTTGCGAAAGCTCAAAAAATTTCCCCCACGCATTGCTTTAAAAGTTAAACAGGCTTTCACTTAATGTAAGATAAGCTTATTATATATTTAATTTCTGCTTTATTTCAACCGGGTGTGCAATTGTTTAATTTACGAAAATGTTTTATATATTTCTAAAAAGAAGAAAAAATAAAATAAATAAATAAATAAAGCAAAATAAATGAAGTAAAATCTTAGTATACATGCACATGAATGAAAAAAATTGTATTTTCTTTGCATTCTTAACCACCTCAAGATCTTAAGATGCTCTTAAAATTACGTCCTAAAAGGAGAATTTGTTTACTTTTTCCTTTTTGTTCAAATATGTGAATATCAGTTATTTACAAATTATTTTCCTTCTACTACACCTTATTTTTTAATTACACAAATTAAATAAATAAAAACAAAAAAATTTTACCCCTTAGTGTCTACACAACAATTAGATTAAATCTTATAACAACTTCATCATCTTCCTTCTATTTTAATTTTTTTTTTTTTTTTTTTAGATTGTTATATAAATCTATTACTGCATATGCTGTAAAGTCTCAATCAAAAGGCATATTCATGCTTGAGCTTACTCAATCACCCATGTGTTTTATACTTCGGTAGCATTCAACTGAATGAGCTACAAAATATGAGTTCCCACACAAGTGTATATATATGCAGACGTTTTTCCTAATTACAACCCATGTTATTGATTTTTTCTTTACAATTTCCAGGTTTTTCCGTATTCATTTTTTTGTTTTATATGTCTATCTAGGTTTTTAATTTAAATCATTAAAAAAATTAAAATATATTGTCTTAAAAAGAGAAAACATTATTTTTACTATTATTTTGTCTAACCGTTTTATTTTATTTTTATTTTATTATTTTATTTTTTTTTTTTTTTTTGTTCATTATTTTATTACCACTTTTCCATATTTATATTTTTTACTGGTACCACTCCGTCCATTTGCTTCTCCCATCATTTATTATATGAATGAATTAATCTTAAATATTAATGTTGATCTTCCTCCTATATTACCCCAACATTCCTCTTAAGAATTTTTTTTTCTTAAATATTCATTATTTGTTAGGTTCCTTCGAATAAATATAAATATATTAGATGATTATTCTGCTTCAAGCATGTATCCATAATATGATTATTTATTATTTTTTCATGAGTTCAGGTCATTCAGGGGATATGTGTATTATTAGTTTTTTACTTATTTTACCAGTGTTGTTGGTTATCAAATATAACTGATAGAATTTTTCGACATCTCATTATTTTTTATGACCCATAAATTATATCCTTGATTTTCTACCCCAAATCTTATGAATTTTCTTTTCTGTACACACATTATATGTCCCATTTTTAATATAAATGTAACTTTTTTAAATCATTAGTACCATTTAGGAATATAAAGAAATTAAAAAAAAAAAAAAAAAAAAAAAAAATTCTTTTTTTTAACAACTTAAAAATGGTGAAAACCTTAACTTACAATAAGTACAATGACCTATACACTGTGAAACGTAAAAGTGTAAAGATAAGAAAAAATATTAAAAAAAAAAAGCATAGAAGCCAAGAAAAATCAATTATAATTAAAAAAATTTTCAAATTGCTATTTAAATCGGAGCCCTTTATACACAGCTCCAATATATATATCAACGAAGAACGAGCAGACACATATTTCATAATGAGGCCTCAAAAATATTTCAATAACATGCACGATCAATGTCTCACATGTATGGACAAATGGAACGACAATTTTGTTCAAGTGTCACATTCAATACAAAGAGGTTCTAGAAAAACGGAAGAGCACGATAGTGACATTAGTAACGAAAATAAAACAAATAGTGATCCTACAAATATGAATGATATTGCAAATAGATTCATTCCACATGATGACAACTTAAAAAAATCTCTTTATAGTAAATCAGATGTGGCAGAAACCGCTTCAGAAAAAAGACAAAGTTTCAGATTTAATACCATAAAAAAAAAAAATGTTTTCACAAAAAATTACATCTCCAAGTGTAAAAAACAAACTGATTTGGTAGACGAGATTGTTACAAAAAAAGTGACAAAAGAAAAAAAGAAAACATTAAACAATTTCAAAATAGAATCGGATAAAATCATAGAAAATATTAAAAAATGGATGATGAAGCATACTCATCTATCGAAAACAATTGATAAACACAATGACAGAAGTAATAAAGGGATTCCATCATTAGGTATACAAAAATTCTCTCATAAATGCATAAACTACTTTATAGAAAAAAAAAAAAGAGAGAGAAGAAAAAAAAACATGGATGAATATACTAATATACGAAAAAATTTGAAAAACATAGAAAATATCGAGCATTTAAATTACAACAATGTAAATGGTGCAAAAAATAAGACTCATAAAAATGAAATACAAATTCAACACAAAACAGTTAATGAGATAACCCCTAATATATCAAATGGAGGCTATAAAAATAATCATATCGTGATAGAAAAGAACAATATAAATAACACCAAAATGTGTTTCAATAAAAAGGCAGAAAATAACTTTATCCAATTAAATGAGTACGATATTTTGTATGCACATGCAATGGATGAAAAACAGACACTACAAGAAGGCGATTACATCAAGAATACACATACTTCTTATCACAATAACAGCCGTGTTGGTAACATAGGTATGAACGTAAATTTGAATAATACACAAGGATCAGATATGAACGAACAAATTAACAGTTACAAGAAAAGAAAAATTGATATCCATAATTATAAAAATGTACTAATTAACAAATCTATAAATGGTGAAAATATTTTAAGCCATTATTTTTCTCTATGTCAAATTGATAATCCAGAAAATACCATTCCTCACTCAAACTATAGCATGAGTAATAATATAAACAATCCTCCTCATCCCATAGGGTTTAATCAACGCATTATTTTAAGAGACGATTTAAATTGTATAAATATGGCTATAACTAAAAATAGTGAATACACAAATGATGTTCATATGCCAGAGAAACATACCTACAAATTTTGTGTAACGAAAATGTGCAATTGTGACAACCACAAAGTGAAAGAAAATTTAGTAAACCAATTAAATACACTTAAAAATAATATATGCAAAAAGTATAATTATTATAAACATAAGGAAAAAATCAAGAAGCAAGAACCCAGAAAAAACATAATATTTATACATGGTTCAAAAGATACACAAAATGTAGATATAAAACATGGAATAAATAATGCAAACTCATTACCCAAATTAAACATTCATGAAGAAAAAAAAAAATTAAAGTCCAATGAAGACAGGAAAGAAATTAAAAATGCAACAAATTCTACCAAGGAATTCTCAAAATATATTAGTCCCAAAAAAAAAATTAAAAATTCATCCCTAATTTTCGTAACCCCCACTGCCACTTGTACCACCAGTGATGGAGTTACTACATACCATACCAGACATAATAGTTCTGTCTCCAAAGAAAAAGACAATAAAGGATTTTTCACCACATATAACAACTTAAACAATGTCAAAAGTTCTAACAAATTAAATAACTTACAGAATTATCATGATATCTCTCTGAAAAGAGCAAATTCGCGAAAACACGTAATAGATAACAAAAGCATGCATGTGAAATCTAAGGAATTCAAAAAAAGAGAAAGTGAAAATCAAAATATTCCTTCAATCGATAAGAAAAAAAAACGAAGCCTAAAAAAGATCTGCATCTCCAAATTAATTAACTCTCAATTAAGTGATGCTACTAATGAGACATGCACACACAAACATATTAAAGATAAAAAAAAATTACTTCTCGATAAAGAAGAGAGAAAAAAAAAACTACCCACAAAGCCAACAAATGGTATAAATCACTTAGGAGGAACACCTGAATCAAACTTAATAGCAAGACACAATTCAAATGCCTCTTTGAAAAACGAGAAAAACTTCTGCAGTAGCACTAACATAGAGAAATTGGAAATTATGAATGGATCTAACAAATTGCTTAAAAGAAACAAGGAATCTGATTCAAATAAGACAACCAAATCAGATCAGATGAAGAAAAATAAGCATATGGATAATAATTGCAAAACAGTAAGTTTTATTAAAAAAGATGTGAAGACTAAAAAGACTAAGAAAAATAATAAAATCAAAGCAGACACCATAATAACTACCACCAATGCATTAACTTCTGAATTGTATGAAATTAAAAAACTGAAGTTAGATAAATCGAAAAACCCTCAAAATATTTTAAATAAAGCAATCGAGATTAACATTCGTAGAAGCACAAAAGATGTATGTGGATCCAATTTCATAGCAACAGATATTTGTAATCATCTAAACGCAAATTTGGAAATAAAAGAAGGAACATTGAAGGGTGATATCTATGACAATGCAAAAGCAGATCAATCTTTTCTTGACAAACATTCAAAATGTAACAGTATAAAAACAGAATATGCAAGCTCTGTATCATCACCAGTTTATAACGTTAGTGGGGATTATAATGATCTGGACGAAAAGAGAAAGGAGACATGTTTTCCAAATTCTACAAATGTTAAAAGTCAAGAAAGCATGCTATATGAATTAATAAACAAAAATGGCAATAAAAGTATAATTAAACAATTTATTGAACAATCTGAATTGCAAGAAAATCCATATACAAATCCTTACAACCAATTTTCCGCTCATGGAATAAGCAAAATTGAAGAAATTAACAATATTACCAATAAGAAAACATTTGAAGTATCTGCATCTATGGAGAAATACTATGACAAGATTGAAATTAAGCACATCCAAGGAAAATCTGATAAAAATAATCCGAAATCGAAAAAAGGAAATTTAATGAAAAATCATGAAGAGGTGCTTTACGAATTACTAAACCGAGATGATAATAAAAGGAAGATTAAAAAGTTTATTGAAAATTCCAAACAGTATGAAAAGGATGAAAAAAACGAAAATAATAACCTTCCCACTCGTAAATACACCACAAATGAAAGTCAACAAAATGGAATGATAACAAAAAATCTAACCAATAAATTTACCCATGGTAATAATACTCCAAAGGAAGAAGACAGTATTCATAAGAAAAAATTGCAAGTAACTATATCTCCTAAAAAATATTCCAATGTTGATGAAAAGATAAAACGTATAAGTATTTCTTCACAGGAACAAATTAAAAGCCACGAAAGTTTGCTGCACGAATTATTAAACAAAAATGATAATAGAATAAAAATTCGAAATTTTATCAACCAATCTAATGAACGAGAAAACAGAATCAACCAAAAGAAAGATGAAAACAAAAATTGTCCAAGTAAGATTCCATCAAAAATTGATTACGCAAAAAAAAGGAATGACAAAATTGTAACATGTAATGTAATTGTTACTCCTCCATTGTTGAACTATAATTTATATAATGATAATACACACGTTGCGAAAAATGCAACACCAAAATGGAAAAATGTATGTGTACGTAAAAAAATAACAAATCAAAACATTCAAAAGTATAGAATTCCGAATAAGATTCTTAACAGATATGAACCACAAAACAAAATAGACACACGAACTAAAAAACAAAATGAAGAAAAAATGATACTTAAAAAAGGCATCACACTGAATCACAAACCTGAAATTAAAAACAAATTTATGATAAATAAAAAAGCAGAAAAAACTATTAATACTGTAAAAAAGAGCAATGTACAACATCATGTCTCTACTAAGAGCACCTTCCGTAGAAGCATCAACAAAATGAAAGAGACTCATAAGGGGAAAGTTATCACACCAAAAGGGGAAGAAAATAATGACAAATTTATTCACACAAAATTGCACAATAGTACTACAATAAATGAAATTTCGAAATACTCCAAATATATAAATAATAAATCAGTTAGTATTAAAGACAAAAATGGGTGCAAAAATGAAGACAAAAATGGGTGCAAAAATGAAGACAAAAATGGGTGCAAAAATGAAGACAAAAATGGGTGCAAAAATGAAGACAAAAATGGATGCAAAAATGATGACAAAAATGATGACAAAAGTGATGACAAAAATGAAGAGAAAAATGATGACAAAAGTGATGACAAAAGTGATGACAAACAAAATATCTTATTTAAAACTTTGACCGCGAAAATAGAATTACAACATAAACAAAATACAAGAGTTCATGTAGTATATCACCCTTCGAAGGTGAAAAATTTTTCACAATTACAAAAATGCTATTCTTATAAGACACAAAATAAAAAAAAATCTACGAATGGGTTAAACACAATTAAAAGATTCAACAATAAGGAAATTGTTACTGGTCAAACCAAAGGAAAATCCAACAAAATAATTCTTAGCAAACTATGTAGAAGAAAAGAAGCTACCGAAAAATGGCACCTAAGAGATATTAAACAAGCATCTCAAAATGAAGACATAGAAAAGGATATCCTTCGACCCAAAATATTTAACAACTTAGGTGTCGTCATAAAAAAAAGAAAAATACTCATTAACTTAAAAACTAACATAAGAACCAAAGTAAGGAAGATACTAAGCAAAATGACAAGTAAGAAAAGCAGTTCAGAAATGATAGACATAAATATGGTATCCAAATTTCAGCAGAATAACCAAAATAATGGAAAGAGAATATACCAAAATGCCTCCAATAAAGATGATTATAAAGTGAACCCTCCACATCTAGCAATTACAACCAGTAAAAATATACCATCCCTAGTGACTAATTCATTTCGAAAAATGCACTGTAAACGTGTATATATGATACCACAAAAGAAAATTAATACACGCATCATCGAACCAAAAGATGAAATAAAATTTGGTGCTGTGTTTGGCAAAATAGTAAATCAAAATTTCAAAGTCATCAAAGGTAAAAGCACAGAAACAAGGTTCACTTATAATTGCAAACAGTTTTTCACCCCTTCTGTGGGAGTACACTTATTTAGCACAGTAAAAAATATAATTAATAACATATTAACTTCTCCTCTTTGTAACAAATTCATTCAATTTAATGAAATAAAAAAGAGAAAAATAATAAAAAAACACAAAAACATTACACAAAATGGGAGAAATTTTGATCTCTTATCAGCAGAATATGTAATAGTTAGTGCAACCAGAACGAGAACAATGATTGTGCTCTATTTCCATTTAACAAAAGAAACTAACAATGTAAAGGAAATGGATAATACTATTCAACATTTAGAATCATGTCAATGGAACGTTAAAAAGATTAACACATTAAAAATGTGTGCTCAAACAAACCAGATTAACAAACTAGAACAAGTCAAATTAATGCGCGAAATGAAACATCAACTAGTAGATGCAGACAATACTAAAAAAGAAAATTACAAAGAAAATATTATTTTGCATCATCAAGTGTCAGAAGAACATGTAAAAGTACAAAACAATAACTGTACTATGAGCAGAATAAAAAGTAAAAAGTTTAACACCAATAACATGGAAAAGAAAAATATGAATTTTAACAGAATGGTAATCATAACGGTCCTACATAAAAAATTCAAAGTAAAGAATATTTTTATGTTAAAAAAAAAGGAGAAAAAAACAAAAAGTAAAGTATTAACCAAATGGTCACATTACTTATCCACGGAGGAATCCAGAAAGCTACTTATTATCATCCTCAGAAACACGAAAAAATTACATTTCACTGTAGATGTAAAGAACACAGCCATAATAAGAAACATATGTAAAATAGAACATTTTAAAAACGAAAAAAAAACTCTATTGGAAGGAACACAAAAAAAGAAAACTCTTACAATTTGCAATGCACTGAATGACACAATGGCAACACTACATATATACATGAAGTCTTCTAAAAAAGTGAATGTAAAAAAAGTGATCAATAATGTATGCAGAAAAAGAATTAAAAAAAAGTCGAAGAAAAAAAAATATATTAAGATGAATAAAACCATTCCCATGTCTCAGATGGAGACAGACAAAAGAGCAACAAATCAGCGCATATTTCCAACTAATGATGAGGGAAAAAACCAAATGGAAAAGAAAAACATCGCATTGTGGAACTTAGAAGATCTAAAAAACAACATATTAACCATAAAGAATGTCGTAAGGGAAAACTTAGGCGAAGAGAAAAATACTCTAATGGTTGAAGACCTAAAAGAGGGGATTAGGCAGACAAAAAGTGGGATCCCTATAAAATTACCAAATCAGGTTGACAATAAAATTGAAAAACAAAAAGCGCAACAAGTTAATAGCGATATAGAAAAAGAAATATTAACAATCAAAAAACTAATAAAAGAAATTCTAGCAGAAATGAAAAACGGAGTAGTGAAAGAAATGAAAATCAAAAAATCCAAGAAAATGAAAAAAGAAAAAACAAAACATAAAGAAGTTAACACAAATCTTAGAATTAATGACTTTAATAAAAGAGAATCAAAACAAAAAAAGAAAAAATACACCTTAAATCGGAAGGAAAATGAAGAAATAATCGTAACTACCGATATTTTCAAAAATGAATCTCACAACTTAGATGTGAATGTGCTGAAGAATATGGAGATGAAACAGTGCATAGAGCAAATACAAAGCAAGGAATGTATGGAAATACTCGATCAAGATATTACAATATTATCAGGATTAAGCGTTGAAAATGATGTTATGATGGTGAAGGAATTAATTAACAAAAATGACACCATCTCTGTGGAAGATGCTTATAGTCTAAACGATGCTATGATTGCCGTGAGTAACAGAAATGAAGTTACCACTCTGACAGACACACATGTATTTGATACTGTTTTAATGGTAATAGATGTGAATCGGCAAAACACATCTCTTCTGGTGGATGACATAACAATCCCAAAGGATTCTATGCTCCTGATGGAAGTAAAAAACCAAAACAACGCTATGGTTCTGTCAGAAGCAAGAACCCCAAACGACAATGTATTCCTAGATGTTGTATATAGCATAAATGATGTTAAAGAAGTGGAGGATCCAGGGAACCAAAATGTTTCCCAGATGGTAAAGCACATGGAACGAGAAAACAAAGAAATAGAAATAGAAGATTCTGTGGATGAACTAATGAGCAAATTGCACGGGTACGAATCAGCGGAAGAACTCATAGAGGAAAGTACAAAAGATGAAACAATTATCCGGGATATAAAAAAAGAAGAAATACGAAAAGAAATTAAAAAATTAATTGAAATGGTTAAAGAACTAAAACGTGAATATATGAAAGAAATGCAGAAAGAATCTGTCCAAAATAACACAAAAAAAGAAAATTTAATGATAACAAACCTTGAAAATGATAATTATAAGGAGAATAACGAGGCACAAATAATGGCACTACAGATAATCAACGAAAGGACATTGGATGAGAACTCGAAAAAGGGCAATTATATATTTCAATATGAAAAAGAATATGAAATTGGGATCATAAAAGATTCCCAAGGGGAGGAGAAATTTTACAAACCTGATATGAACAAAATCATAACTAAATCTCCGGAACAAGTCACAATAGAAGATAGTATAAAAAACTACAGTAATTTGAATCACTCAAGCAATGAAACCGTTACTACATACTATTCAAGTCCAAAATGTAGAAAAAAAAAAAAAAAAATTAAAGGAATTAACATAAAGTTAATGAACAGAGAGAACTCTAAAATGGGTAATTTAAACCAGGTAAAAATGAAAGAACGGAACAAAAAAAAAAAAAAAAATTTGAAGGATATTATAAAAGATATACTAAATGAAGAATATTTAAAAAGGATTCTTCGGCATAAGGATGAAAAACAAATTCTGCACGAAGATGTCAAAAATAAAATTTCCCTTGACCTAATAGGAGAAAAAGAATACACAAACGTTGAAGGGTGCGAAATAATTTATATCAAATCCCTTGGATGCGCAGATGGGAACATGTGTTCAGGAAATACCTCAAGTGACGAAATTGCTACAATTGTTGGGAGTGTGCCCTCAACTGATGAAAAAATCCCAAGGACTGAAAATTTCTTAGGTGCTGAAAAATCCATAAGTACTGAAAATTTCTTAGGTGCAGAAAAACGTATGACATGTGTTCAAAAACCTAAACGTGATAAGAAACACATGTGTAGCGACGGCGAGTGCCTCATAAATGGGAAAAAAAATACCAATGAAGAAAAACAAAATAAAAACCCTTACACAAAAATCGAAGCAGATGAAAAATTAAAAAAACTTATGAGCAGAAAACGAGTAACATTAAACGAAAATTTGGCCATAACAAGGGCATTTTTCAATGCACAGAAAAAGGATAAGAATGAAAAAGAAAGCGATGATTTCTTCTGTTCGTGCTCATAATGTTTTTTATGCATAAAGAAAAAAGGAGCCACAAAAATATAAACTCATGGAAAAACTTATTTTAAATATCGTAAAACTGAAGAGCTCGCTAAGTTTGCAATTTTTTTAGTACATGTTATAGGGATGATAGTTAAAACCCTTCAGGAGGTAACAAGAAATAAGGAAGGAAAAAGCTTAGGTCATAAAAAAAAAAAAAAAAAAAAAAAAAAAAAAAAAAAAAAAAAAAAAAAAAAAAAAAAAAAAAAAAAAAAAAAAAAAAAAAAAAAAAAAAAAAAAAAA